GCGAGGGTCCACTGTACTACCATCCTGCTGAGTGAGTGTGAAACGGAAACCTCTAGTTGTTTTATATGATTGCTGTTTTTTTAGGTCTCATAAACATGCAGGTGACACTACACGCACATGCACGCACGCGCGCACACACACACACACACACAAACACACACACACACACACACACATACATACATACATACATACATACATACATACTGTACATACATATTTGGGTTTTCTTCTAATTTTCTTAATAGTTTTTGTTCTTATTTATTTTGTCTTATCTCCATGTTGAAGTCAATTGTTCCTCCATAAAACATGTATGTTTTTAGAGGTGACTAAAATGCAGGAAGCAAGGTGCAAGTAACCCCCCCCCGTCTCCTGTATAGATTACTAAATTAAAAAAAGAAAATCTTTAGTTTTTCTTTTTTGGTCACCCTGCCTCGGTGGGATACGGTTGGTTCATTGGAAGAAAAAAATTTAGAAGATGGAGTGGGGTTATTTAAGGTGTAATTCAGAATGCTGGGAAAGAACTGTTCGGATGGTTTGGGCATTTAAACTCAAGTAGAATAGAATGACTAAAGCATGTACAAATGTGGTGCAAGGAGGGGTAGGGTTGGAGAGAGAGGATAAAGGAGGTTTTGAGTGCTAAGGGCTTGGTATCCAGCAAGCTTGTATGAGTGTGTTAGAGCAAAATGAATGAAGACAAGTGGTGTCTTTGAAAATGCTAAACCTGTAGGGGTCATACAGTGCATGAAGGAACAGGAGGCATTACAGAACCTTGAGGAATATGATGTAAACATTAGCCATTATTATATTCATAGGGAAGCATCAAACCCATAAGGATCACAGAGAGCTTGGAGAATGGGTGGTAGTCAGGTATGATCCAAGGAATGGAATCAAGAACCCTTTACCAGCATCAAAGGATCCCCCTTAAAGGAATATATATGAAAAATTACTTCTATATACTGTAATGCAGTTTTATGCTCAAGTAAAGTGGTAGTGTCTTCAGCTTATAACAAAGGGACCATGGTTTGATCTCGGCACAAGTGGAAACATTGGGCATATTTCTTTATACCTGTTGCCATTCACTTAGCAATAAGTAGGTACATTATTATTATAGTCAAAACTAAGCACTAAACACACAAGGATGTAAGTAGGTAAAATACCTGGGTCTTAGCCCACCATTGTGGGTCACATCCTGGGGATGAGGTCAAACATCCCTCCAGGTTAATAATCCAAATGAAGACTTTTATATTTCTGAAAGCTACTAAAAACTACTGAACTTTTGGGTTTTGTACTTTCCACACATATTATTGAATCATCATTTGCCTGCTAATTAATTACAATATTATACATGTATTTAAGGGAAAGCATTAAGCCCACAGGACTCAAAGTGCCTGGGAAATGGAAGGCAATCAGGTTTTAACCAAGAGTGAGAAGTACTTGTCCAATTTACCAGATCAAGATAAGATTTGTTCAGATTATTAACCCAGAGAATTAGACACCCAGGATAACCCACGAAAGTCAGTGCTTAATTGAGGACTGCCTGTCTTATTTCCATTGAGGTCCTTCAATCTTGTCTCCCAGGATGTGACCCACACCATTCTACTAACACTCAGGTACCTACTTACTGCTACAAATACAAATTTTTATTTCTTTGCATAGTATACGATGTGTGATTTACATGTTATATTGTTAAGCACAAAGAAAGCCACCAGCATGCCTGAATATTTAAGGAAGCATGCCTAATATTTCCACCCTACCAGGGACTGAACCCTGGACTCCTCAATGTCTGAAGCGATAGTGTTGCCTACCAAGCCGTGTGCAATACTGTACTTGGGTATATTCACTGCCGAAACATTTAGCATGAAAAACAGGCTTATAGTCGAATACAGGTGGTAAACATAACACTGTAGACAGCAGTAGTAGTTCTGACATGATTATGTGGCGGTTAGTCTTGATAGGTGGCAGTTAGTCCCTCAAGCTTAAACTATAGACTTCGTATGCAGCATTGTGTACCATCAATAATACTCGTCTGACACACCAACACCATGGTATCTAGGTACAGGGGAAGTCTTCTGTAACTCCATTGCTAAACAACTATTTAGCATGACCTACTTCCACTAGTTGGCCATTCTCACCTGTGATGCATTCTCCAAATGCTTCACCTCACTTCTGCTCTAGTATAAATAATAATAATAAATAATAATAATAATTGATTTCTACAAGTACATGATACAATTTATACAGACCTAGCTGACACCAATGACATACTATATAGAAAGCCCCTGGTTATGCAAAGCATTTCAGGTAATTACAGCCTCTCCTCACTTACCAATGTACTCGTTTACCAACGACTCGGACTTACAACGGGCTCTCTGACCAGTATGCATACCTGTAATGTATATTAGAGCTTATTTCCTCTATTCTGTTGTTAGGTAAGACACATATGCAACAGTTAGGTATCTTTATTTCGAAACGTTTCGCCTACACAGTAGGCTTCTTCAGTCGAGTACAGAAATACCTGAAATCTATTCTGTTTATTACAATATACACTACATTACTGTATAAACATTTAAAAAATATACCAGATATGTTATAAATGGTGACATTAAAACAATATCAAAGATGGTTGACACAAACCCACTATCATTATAGTGTCCTCACTTAATGATGAATTCGTTTACCGACATGGTCTTAGGAACGGAACTCTGTCGTTAAGTGAGGAGAGGCTGTATTATTTTTATTTTTTAACACATCGGCCGTCTCCCACCAAGGCAGGGTGGCCCAAAAAAGAAATACTTTCACCATCATTTACTCCATTACAGTCTTGCCAGAGGCACGCTTCCACTACAGTGTAAGTGCGGTAAATTTTGTCCCCAGGATACAACCCACACCAGGCAGCTAACACCCAAGTATTTATTTACTGCTAGGTGAACAGGGACAGGCGTCTTAAGGAAACACACCCAAATGTTTCCACCTGTACCAGGGAGTGAACCACAGACCTCAGTGTGCAAGCTGAGTGCACTACCAACCACATGCCTATGCCTCAGGCTTAATGAACTGACCACAGGCTGACAGATCACTCACATTATTTCTGGTGATATACTATTCACTTGTACTCAACTGAAGAATTATTATTATTATTATTATAACAAGGGGAAGCACTAAACCCACAGGATTATACAGCACCTGTGGGGGGTGAGGTATTCAAACTAATTCAGGGAACTGGAGTGCAGATCCAATTCCCTAGATCAAGAGCCCCACCACCATCAAGGACCCTTCCTTGAGGGGATTCAACTGAAGAGGTCTGCTGTGCAGGCAAAAGATGGTAGCCCATAGCCTGGTAGGCAATGCTTTCACTTCACATGCTGAGCATTGCCCGAGTAGAAACACTGGGTGTGTTTCTTTCACCTGCTACTCTATTCACCTAGCAAGCAAGTAGGTACCTGGGTGTTAATCTACTGGAATGGGTCACATCCTGGGGGACAAGCTTGAGGACCCCAATGGAAATAAGACAGATAGACCCTCGATGACATCATACTGCCCATCTGGGTTATCCTGAGTGGTTAACCCTTCCGGGTTAAAAATCTGAACAAAATCATAAGTGCTGCAAAAATGCCTTATTCATCAACTTGTTGGTATTGAATACCATCAATAATACACCTGGATCAAAAGCCCCTCACTTACATCAAGGAACTTCCAATGAGGGGATAAGGTAGGGCAACCAGGCAATAATTTGAAGCTATGAGTCTATTTGTTATTGTGAAAACTCAAAATTGGTAAGGACTCAATATAAGTAAGTCACACTGTTTAACTGTATTATTTTACATTAAATGTAAATTATGTACCATTGTTGTAAGGGTAAAGCATGTAACTTCAGAATGAATGTATAAATTTAAACTATAGTCCATTAAAAATGTATAGATTTTCTTGAATAATGATTATCACACTGGCAGGATATTACGATTATTACACAGTATATAGGGAATCATAGGCAATCAACTTTCATCCAAAGAAATGGAGGTTCAGACCAGTTCCCTGGATCAAGAGACATTGAACATTAGGAATGATAAAGATAATGTGTAGAAAGTTCAACTATTTACCCAATAAATTAATATTTTCAAAGCATCAAATAAGCTAGACAACAAAAAAGTCCATTATTTCCCCAGGTATATAACCTATCGACCAACAATGTATGTAATGGCTGGTTAATGGAGTTCAAGAACTACACAAATAAGTTTATTAAGGTGCAGTCATATGTAAGTAATTACACATGTTTAGGTGATTACATTAACATACAAAGTAACATGCGTAAATTACCTAGGATAACCCCATAAGTCAAAATCTTATTTCCACTGAGTCAACACCAGACAAGAACACTTTAATCCCTAAAATAAGTATTACAGAGGATTACGACAAGACATATGCCTCTCAGTATCTATATATCTTTTCTTTGTTTATGTATATATATACAGTTAGGCAGTAAGGTAACATTTATGTTCTTAAATCAATATTTATGAAGACATCATTGAGATCAATACCAACACAGCTCTACTGACTTAAATATAGGTGTATAGTATTCTATATTCAACATTTGTGATACACCCAACCATCTTTTTAATCATTCTGGTGATACTGGATGATGAAGATGTATTTCTAGAGATATTTATAGGTAATGAAATTGTTAATGAATAACAGAACTACTAAATTAGTCGAGATGTAAAGTAATGTGGAAGGAACTACTCAAAATGTTTATATAACTCATGTGCGTTCCCTGAATAACTAAATTATGTGACGCTGTTGATTTGTACTTAATATTGTTCCTTGCATTACACAGAAGAAGAAATAAGAGGAAAAGAAAGCTAGAGCAGGCAAGTAATTAATGTGTAAACAAATACTGAGTGACCATTGAGGGCCAAGTGCCTTGATTTTCGGTTCTTGTATAAATCATCACCCATGAACACTCTGTTCGGAAACTTCTGTCAATTATGAGCAAGACTCACCTGAATTTCAGAGGAAAACAGCAATAAGAAGGGTGATTTAGGAAGAGTGACAAGTATGCTTGTTGTTGTTCTGGGAAAGGAACCGTCTGATAGCCAAGATGGCGGCGCTGGTCCCTGGCGCCAAGTTCAACTTATTCTTCTCACCTCCTCTTACTCTCACTGCTTTATCTATGAAAACGAGTTGTAGTGAAATAATTGTAAAACTACATATTAGGTCTAGGAACTGGTCCTCATTGTTCCGTTTGTCAAGAAAGTTACATTGGTAATTAGTTTATGTTCTTATGTAACGGTCAGTCACTAACAGTACGGGCAACATTTTTCTTATATATCTTTCCATACAGCTTTAAAATATGTTGTTTGAGCCAGTTTTCTGTTATTTACATACGATTCTTGTTACAGTAATAGAGTCACTATAAGATAACCCACACTACTTGGCTTTCTTGGGTTATACTGGATTATTAACCCTCCCTGAGGTTAATAATTCACTATAACTTTTTTTTCAGTCAAGTCTAGTTTAATTTTGTTCTTTTTATATAAGTCGTGCATTATAGAGCAGTAATTGCAGTATACAAAATAAATTTTTGTTTCATCTTCAATAATTACAGTGTAATACAGACTATTACAACTCAACAAAAGTATAATTTTCATTAGAACTGCACATAGAACATATCGGCTTTTTTTCTGAAACCCTGTACGACCCCTGTGGGTTTAGCGTTTCCTCATGAACACCCTGGATTACAATAAGCGACAGTTTCTCAAAAATATTTGACTCGAGGTCAATTAGTCTCGTCCACACAGTAGACGAGACTAACAATTTTACCGTCATATAGTATACTGGAGTAGACCTGGAGAGGGTTTAGGGGGTCAACGCCCCCGCGACTCGGTCTGTGACCACGCCTCGTGATGAATCAGGATCTGATCAACCAGGCTGTTACTGCTGGCCGCACGCAAACTGGCGTACGAATCACAGCCCGGCTGATCAGGTACTGACTTCAGGTGCCTGTCCAATGCCTTCTTGAAAACAGCCAGGGGTCTATTGGTAATCCCCTTATATATACTGGGAGGAAGTTGAACAGTCTTGGGCCCCTGACACTTCTTGTGTTGTCTCTCAGTGTACTCGTGGCGCCCCTGGTTTTCATTGGGGGAATGTTGCATCTGCCGAGTCTTTGCTTTCATAGGGAGTGATCTTCGTGTGCAAATTTGGTACTAATCCCTTTAGGATTTTCCAAGTGTATATTATCATGTATCTCTCTCGCATTCGTTCCAGAAATAAAAAATCAAGGGACTCCAACCGTTCCCAGTAATTTAGGTACTTTATCGTACTTATGTGTGCTGTGAAAGTTCTTTGTACACTTTCGAGGTTAGCAATTTCGCCAGCCTTGAAGGGGACAGTTAGTGTACAGCAGTATTCCAGCCTAGAGAACATAAGAACATAAGAACGAAGGAACACTGCAGAAGGCCTACTGGCCCATGTGAGGCAGGTCCAAGTCTCCTACCGGCTTAAGCCAATGCACCCAACCTAGTGAGGTCAGGTCACATTGACTTAAGGGAGGAACACGGCAACCGACCTGGTAGCACAAGCTATCAGGTCCAACTCACACCCACCCACATCCACTCATGTATTTATCCAACCTATTTTTAAAGCTACACAACGTTCTGGCCTCTATAACTGTACTCGGGAGTTTGTTCCACTCATCCACAACTCTATTACCAAACCAGTACTTTCCTATATCCTTCCTGAATCTGAATTTTTCCAACTTAAAACCATTGCTGCGAGTCCTATCTAGGCTAGATATTTTCAGCACACTATTTACATCCCCTTTATTTATTCCTGTCTTCCATTTATACACCTCAATCATATCCCCCCTAATTCTACGTCTTTCTAGAGAGTGCAGATTCAGGGCCCTTAGTCTATCCTCATAGGGAAGATTTCTGATACATGGGATCAACTTTGTCATCCTCCTTTGTACATTTTCCAGAGAATTTATATCCATTCTGTAATACGGTGACCAAAACTGTGCAGCATAATCTAAATGAGGCCTAACCAAGGATGTATAGAGTTGAAGAACAACCTGAGGACTCCTATTATTTATGCTTCTTGATATTGCGAACACTTATGCACTGCTGTCTTGGTTTCAGATTACTGCTAACCAGAACTCCTAAATCTTTTTCGCAATCCGTAATATTAAGATCTACATTATTTAGTTTATATGTGGCATGGTTATTGTCCTGTCCAACATTTAGAACTTTGCATTTGTCTATATTAAACTGCATCTGCCACTTCTCCGAACACTGCATCAGTCTATTCAAATCTTCCTGGAGTGCTCGAATGTCCTCGTCAGAATGAATTCGACGGCCTATTTTGGTGTCATCGGCAAACTTGCCGATGTCGCTCTTTATGCCCTCATCTATGTCGTTTATGTATATTGTGAACAGCAGGGGGCCCAACACTGACCCCTGTGGAACACCGCTCGTGACGCTTCCCCACTCTGATTTCTCCCCATTTATGCAAACTCTCTGCTGCCTATTTGTCAACCATGCCTCTATCCAGGAAAAAATTTCTCCTCCTATTCCCTGTGCTTTAATTTTCCTCAAGAGTCTCTGATGTGGGACCCTGTCAAAAGCCTTACTGAAGTCCATATACACAATATCATATTCATTACCATGATCTACCTCCTCAAATACCTTAGTGAAAAAAGTTAATAAATTCGTAAGGCAGGAACGCCCCTTTGTAAAACCATGCTGAGATTCGTTGATTAATTCATGCTTTCAAGTGGCTACGAACTGCCTCGGCAATTATTGATTCCATAAATTTTCCCACTATGGAGGTTAGGCTTATTGGTCTATAGTTCGAAGCTAAGGACCTGTCACCTGTTTTGAAAATAGGTATCACATTTGCCATTTTCCACTTATCTGGCACCATGCCAGTTTGTAGTGATATGTTGAAAGATTAGCCAAAGGTGTGCTAAGCTCCTTTTTTACATTCCTTTAGAACCCTTGCATACAGTTCATCAGGGCCTGGGGATTTGTTAGGTTTTAATTTATCTATTTGCCTAAGGACCATGTCACTTGTGACTCTAATCGTGCACAGTTTATTATCGTCCTTTTTCTACATAATTTATCATTACTGGAATATCGCTGGTATCCTCCTGTGTAAAAACTGAGAGGAAGTATGTGTTAAAAATTCTACACATTTCCTTATCACTGTCAGTGAGCTGACCCGAGGAACTTTTGAGTGGGCCTATCTTGTCCCTGATCTTACTTCTGTATACCTGAAAGAATCCTTTTGGGTTAGTCTTCGATTCTCTTGCAACTTTAAACCTCATAATCTCTTTTTGCTTTTCTAATTCCCTTTTTTATTTCTCTCTTTGACTGAATATATCGATTTCTTAATTGCCCCTCTCCTCTTTTGATTTGCCTATATATGCCTCTCTTTTGACCAATCAGATATTTTAATCTATTGTTCATCCATTTAGGATCATTTTTGTTTGATCTGATTTCCCTATTTGGAACATAATTTGACTGAGCAGCTAGAACTATGCCCTGGAAAGCATCATATCGGCAACCATCACCACCTACCTGACCCTTAGTCAGGTCATTCCAGTTCAGCCCTCCTAAGTAATTTTTCAGTCCTATGAAATCAGCCAAGCGAAAGTCAGGGACGGAGACTTGATTGCCATTATTAGGGGAATTCCATGATATATTAAAACTGAGTGATTTGTGATCACTTTCCCCAAGCTCATCATTAACCTCAAGATTATTAATTAGTGTTTTCCCTACTGGCAAGAACCAAGTCAAGGAGGTTATTTCCCCTAGTTGGCTCTGTCACAAACTGTTTAAAAAACAATCCTGGATCGTATCAAGAAAGTCACCTGACTCTAAATTCCTGTCAAATTACTCCAGTCAATCTGTCTATAGTTGAAATCTCCCATTAGCACAACATTTTCGTATGTAGATGCCTTACGAATTTCGTCCCATAGAAGTTTACTGCACTCCCTATCAAGATTTGGGCCCTGTAAATCACACCCAAAATTAGTTTTTCTCGGCCCTCGAGAAGCTGTAACCAAACAGATTCAGTGGCTGACGCTTCTAATTTAATATCTTGTCTAACACAACAATTTAAATTGTCTCTGACATACATCGCTACTCCACCACTTTTCCTGTTGACCCTGTCAGTGTGGAATAATTTATAGCCTTGTATGTGACATTCAGAGGGCATCTCTCTATCTTTCAGATTGAGCCAGGTCTCTGTTATAGCAATAATATCTATGTTTCCTGCACTTGCAATTAATCTTAGCTCATCTATCTTATTTCTTACACTCCTGCTATTAGTATAGTAAACCTTAAGGGAGTTAGTCCCTTGCTGCCCTCTGCTGTCTCCCTTTGTTTGCTGACCTGATCTATTGTCTTTATTTATAACTTCATGCTGAATGCCTTTTATACATTTACTGTTTCCAACCCTAGTGTTGCAACCTGCTTGTTTCCCACACACACCCATACCACTATCTTCCATCAGTTTAAAATCATAGGCATTTCACCAATGACCTTCTCAATCGAGTCTGCAAGTGCTACCACCCCTGCCCCAGAGAGATGTACCCCATCCCTTGCATACATATCATGTTTGCCATAAAAGTTTTTCCAGTTGTCAATGAATGGGATTGCAAGTTCCTTGCAGTATCTGTAGCCAGCAATTTACACTAATTGCCCTAGACAACCATTCATTTCCTACTCCCCTTCTAGGCAAGATGCTACATATGATTGGGATCCCTCCCTTAGACTTAATGAAATCTATAGCTGACCTGTACTTATCTAGCAGCTCTTCTCTCCTACCCTTCCCAATATCATTTCCACCAGCACTGAGACAGATAATGGGCTTGTTCCCATTACCTGACATGATATTATCCAGCCTGTTGACAATGTCCCCAACACCAGCTCCAGGGAAGCACACTCTATCTCTCATCTTCTTATTCCTATTACAAAAAGCACGGTCAATATATCTTACCTGAGAGTCACCAACCACAAGAATGCGCTTACCTCCATTAGCAGGGGCAGTAGTACCCTTACCTTCACTGGCCACTGAAGTACATTCATCCTGAAGAACAGAGAAGCGATT